CACCGCTGAAGTTCTTCGGAAAGAATTTTTACAGGAAGTTAACAAACGAACAGAGACGTAACAATACAAATATAGATGTGGCTAAATACATCACAAATACGGTCTGGCATGACCTGGTTATTAGGGCGCTCGACTAGCAATCTGCAGGTCACCGTTCGAATCCCCCTTCACCGAACATGCTCGTGGGTACATTATAATTGGACTGTTAATCCCACTATACGTTGGTAAACGAGTATCCCAAGAGTTGGCGGTGGGTCGTGTTAACTAGGTGTCTTCCCTCTAGTCTATCACTGTGAACTTAGGGAAAACTAAAGCAGATTCCGCTTGATTAACTTTGCGCGAAATTCAAAACAAACCACATACACCACAATTAGGCTCCGCCCATAAAACATGACGGATCTCTTAACATCCTAATCCTTATTTTATAAAATCAACGTTTCGTTTGTTTTTTTAATTACTAGACTACATTATGTAATGGTAATAGTGCTTGCTTGCTTGTTATTTGATCTAATTTAATGCTGGACACAGTGCACCGTGTTTCATAAATTAAGATTAACAGTACTTTATATCCGAGGAAAGATTTTATAACGTATCCAAACTGTTAGTTAATATCTTTACTGTCTTAAATGTTTCATTTACACTTCTTTTTGGGGTTCTTAATTATGTATTTCCTTTCCCTTTGAATGCTTGTTTAAATATTTATCTCTTTAAAATAATTATTAAACCATTTTACTTCTCTCTCCAATAATTTATATTTATTTTACATGTAACTTAATTTACTATCGGAGACCTATGAAGAACAAGACAAACACAAGAGACTGTTAGTGTTAACTTTTTCTTTATGCTCGCGAGGTTTAACAATATTATGTCTTCCTTTGTTTGTGATTTAATTTAATAACAGAAATGTCTGAATCCATTTCATCCCACAGTTTTAGTTGAAACAATTATTTAACATATGTACCTCAATAGAGTTACAATCGAAAGATAGTCGTTGTCAGTTAGGGGTACCCAACATCTGAATCACTGCACGATTCACCATAGTAAATTTTCAGCGTTCGAACAGGTTCTACACTTAACTGCCCCCTGGTGGATTAACAATAAGTCTGTAAATTATTACCCCAAAAATAAATTTTTAATACCTGCGATGGGCCTATAATGTAGGTTGATATTTAACAATAATTAACTGACGAGTTTTAAAACTAAGATTACTAGTAATTGCAAATTAATCTTCAGAGAAACTTATTTTATGATAATTTATTTTCGTTTTAATCGGCACTTTTTTTTCTGTTTTTGCGTGTTTAAGTTACTCGTAAAACAGGAACAGACTTACAAAAACTGATTAATCCATAACTTTAGCACATCGTTCTATTAAAAAAAATATTCGTTAAAATAATTCATCAAACTACGTTTTTTATTTTGTACTTCAACTGAAAACATTTGGAAGTTGAACGGGCTAATGATTCATACATAAAGGCCGGATAGATAAATAATTAAGGTGGAGATCAGTGGTGAGACAGAAAGCTAAAATTTCTAACACTCGCAATGGTTTGATAAAAATTTCCATTACGTCATATCGAATTTATTATCACCAATCGCCTGACACAGTGATCTGACAAAGAGATCGTCTGCTGATATTTCTCTTTCATCCTGAGATCGCTACAGGTGTATATGACCGGGATATTGACAAGATCATTGGGATGGTATGTCCTTCCACCACGAACTGACTAGTTACTATTTGAGTTATAGTAACTAAGCCCGAGTACCACATTCCAAGCATAGGAATTATTTATCATCCGCCTCAAGGTTAAGAAACAAAGGTTATAGACTATCGAACAATTGTTACTATATGGTCGCGACAGTCTCGTATTCTCGCTCCAAGGAATAATATTCACGAATAATTCAAATATTATTTTACTGCTATATTTATAAAACGTGGATAATTTTTTTACTGTTTCTCATAAGGATTTTGGTTTTCAAGGAAATCCTGGAAAAATGTGTCGAGAGTAATTATGAATTAAATCTCAAATAGGCTCTAAAAGTAGTTAACCCTACATTTTGAGTAACAAACAATACAACTACTTGTGAACGTCACATTGTGCCATAACTAGAAATTTTTCCAGGAAAGGGGGGCAAAACATTAGAAATTTTCCAAATACTAGGTCATGAAATAAGCATCACTACATATTTTTAAACAACAATCATGCACGTATTAGCAACATGTTTCCTGCTGATTTAAGGGGGCGATTGTTTATTAATATCTTTTACATTTCCGAATTTTTTGTCACAGCTCTCCAGGGGAGCATTTGCACCTCCCTGTAGCTATGCCACTGAGTCGTTACATCATTAACACAACATACTATAACTGGCAGTAACAAGTGATAGCACAAATGTACGATATATTTGGTAAAGGTAACTGAAACTCTTATCTCAATATTATCATTATGTACCAGAATTTCACTCAAAGATACACAAGGGCTACGTGCACATAATCGTCGCTAATTCTGAGCTGATCGACTAGAGGGAAGGAAACTAGTGAATAGCACCCACCGCCTATATTTTCTGATCTTCATTCTTATAGCACACCCACCCCTCCAATGTGCTGTGCGCGTTTTGATGGCATTGGACCACGATTCAAAAACTCTAACTAGACCTGTCATTTTCTAAAATTCAGCCCAAGATTTTGAAGCTTGACCGGTCAAGGAACTTGCGTCATTTCATGAGGTGGTTGCATTGTATCCTACTTGACCGTGTGTATGGTTTATACGTTTGTTTCGGATATTCAGGCAAAGTTACAACATGGCTATATACACTAGCCGTCCCTAATTATTATTAAACTGATAGACAACGAAACGAGGGGAGTATGTATATTCAAAAGCAACTACCACCAATTTTTGGGCTACTGCATAGGAATAGTGAAATTTTACTATCCTTCATCTAACGCAGTGGTTTTCACACTGTTATCCATAGAACCCCAGGCATGGACGTAAGCCTATTGGATGATAATAGTTCCTACATAACGCATATTAACATTCATCTTTCAAGTTCCTTAAGGACACACGAACTTCTCGCACTGAAAACAAAACAAAATATATACACAAGTTTTTTAAAGTCTTTATTAAAATCCATTCCACATGTAACATATATAACGTTTTTGCATTTAAATGCTTAAATTCATTTTTTTTCTTGCAGTTTTTACAAAAAAAAAATTAAATCATCACTACAAAAAAGCACACAAATCACAACAGGTCAATTAATCTAGGCTTTGGAAAAATTAGAAAAATCATATATAAACGGAGATCCCTTAATACACCGTGAACTTGAGATACACCAATGATTTAATTAGCAATGATACACACACACAAATTATAAAATACATAAAAGTTAAAAAAAAAACTACCCCAACCCGACGGTATTCAGCAAGTTTATAAAAATTTATATATCAAAGTACTTCGGTGAATTCTGATATGAAAAATCACTACTAAAGGTATAAACATCAAAACAATTTAGTATAAAACCAACACAAAATTCTGCTGGACAAAACTATACTCGTTCCTACTTAAAATATTAGCAAAGTTGACCTTGTCTGTGGAACGAAGACAAACGAGAAAACAACTGTAAATAATTTTTTTTTTCACACAATATTAGGAACAAACAGCTAGCTACTGGATAGTTAAAAGTATATAAAACTTTCTTTCACTTTGAGCTTTTGTAAGATTTTTTCTTACCAAAAATATATATATATATTATAAGAAAATACAAAAATAAGTTCCAAGACAATTTCAGTACAAAATTACTTTGTTCCAATTTTGAGCGCATTATCCCAAGGTTGAGCAAGAAATCCCAAACTGAAACAACTAACCTGGTTCTTTAATGAGAAAAGAATACTTTGCAAGTAGTAAAAGTGTAACAGCTTGATATACCAAACAGGATCAAATGAAATTTTCATTATGTTCCACGAATTTTTCAAGCCAGAAATAAGGTTTAATAATTACTCCAAAAACAAACAAAATAGTTGAAAGTCACCAACACTGAATAATGACCGATTTAAAATCCATGTACCATATGCTTCTGAATAATACAACGCTGTATACAATTTACTTTGAACTATCAGGACAGTTGCTTTCTGTTTTTACTTAATAATACACAAGTGTAAAATATCTACACTGTAGAAAAACAATGAGGCTTTTAAGGCCTAACAACAATGTTTAAGAGCAGGCTTAGCTGCAAATATGTTTTGCTTCACATTCCTTTTCCTTAGTCCTATATATATATGCATATACCTCAAAGGAAGGAAGGTAAAACCAGAATTTGACATTCCCACAAGCTTACAACAAACCACGCCTTCCATTCACCTGATTAGTCCTGGTATGCAACAAAAGGGCTGCTTAGTAATGATTTGTTCCACACAAAAGACTGGTTTGAAGTGGTATTTTTAAACACCTTTTGTGAAAGATCTATTAACAACTAATCAATAATGTGAAATACGAAACATCTACAGTCAAGCAAGATTTTAACCAATTTCTTCTTAACGTTTTTCTAAAGACTTGAATAATCCCTGATGTCATTCCTCACTTGTAATAAAAATATCACCAAGAAAATATAAAAACTCACATACAAGCTATTCCAAATAATTCTGAAGTTATCCCTACATGGAATACCAACAGCAGCTGTTTAGTAGTTGACCTACATCAAGTTACAGTTGAAAAAAAAAAAGGATATAAAGTCTTATAAATGAACATCAGATAACCTTACGCATAGCCACCCATGAAGGATATGTAGATTTATTAACACATGATTTAAAACTGTGAATACAGGTATGTAGTGGTTATACTCCAACCTAGGGTCCTACTACACTTTCAAAACTGAAACATCCAAAGTGATAGCACAAAGAACATGTATAATACTTTAAAATCAATAACTTCCACAGTGGAAGCTACTTTTTAAACAATCTTGGTTAAAAGTATATGTTGATTTTCATTGAAGAATTAAAGATTACGGTTCCAAGATAATAACAAGTCTGGAAACTGTTTTCTCTTTTTCACTTCTTCTGATAAATAACTTGCTTCATAAGTATAAAATATAAGCAATACTGTAAACAGTTTTCTTATTGGCACATAACAGAAGATATAGTAAAAGAGCAGAAAACCGTTCTTTGGAACACTACAAAAACTCTAATTTGTCAGATCACCACACCGGGCAGGTATTACGTAGATTCATCTCTGAACCAGCATCACACCCAAAAGTTTCAGAGAATTCAGGCAGCTGCTGCAGTGTACTCATTACCCTATGGAGGAACAATCCAAGCATATATTACATACATACTTTAATCAACCTTAAAGCAAATTTGTAGACTACAGATAAAAAAGTTGTTGCATTAAATCATATTACAAACATTTTCAAACTACATCTATAATATATAATAAAAGTCCAGACAGAAAACAAGTTTAACACCAGCTTCATAGAAAATATCATGAAAGTCCAGAAAGAAAACAAGTTTAATGTCAGTTTCACAGAAAATATAATAAAAGTCCAGACAGAAAACAAGTTTAACACCAGCTTCATAGAAAATATCATAAAAGTCCAGACAGAAAACAAGTTTGATGCCAGCTTCACAGAAAATATCATGAAAGTGCAGACAGAAAACAAGTTTAATGTCAGCTTCACAGAAAATATCCTGAAAGTCCAGACAGAAAACAAGTTTAATGTCAGCTGTACAGAAACTATTGTTTCACATGTGAACAGGATATATTTCAATTTTTCTAAAAAATATTATAATGTACAATTGGTTGTTACGTTATATACTTAATGATACAGCTGTTAAACTAGGTTTAGGTTATGCACAAATTAAGGTGAACATACAACTCTCAACGTTTTTGGAAGTTCTCAATAACAATGAGTAGAAAATATATATACATACTGTTTATAAGCTCACATTCTTTTACTTAAAGATTCAAAAAGGTTTATTTACACCCTAGCTTTTGAACTGATGAACAGTCTTTTAAAAGGGGTGTTTGATTAATAAAAATTATAGTACAATTAAGTGGTAATATTTGAATTAAAAAATAAGCAATTTCATGTCATTAACAAGATTATGTTAACTAGCTTAGATCTACCCCAATATTCTTACTAGTTCTAGTTAGTGTGGTATTAAAGCTATAAGAAGACTTTATGGTACCTTGGTCACCAACAAATTTAAAATACAAATGTGTCATCAAAATATAATATTTGCATTAGCACATTTTGTTTTGCAGAAATAAAACTTATTTCATATTACTGCTTTTTACAAAAAAGTATAGTTAACCTGAAGTTGAAATGTTGCCACATATTTATAATGAGATTTCAAAAGTAGTTGCTCCCAGAAAAGGGCTTAACTTTTTTGATTTTCCCTTCCCGTGAGATTGTCCATTTGTAGCAAGATATCTTCATAAATGTAAGAGATATTCTTTAAAACATGACAAGCGTGCATGAAGTTACTTGATCTATGTTAGACCAAGTTAAAAACACATTTACCAATCTGTTCTCCATATACCATTTCAGGGTATCCAGTTCTGAGATGATCCAGTGAACTGTAAAAAGTAATATATATTACTTTTATTTGAACAATAACTATCACTCTTAGAACATGCCTTACCTGATCTTGTTGGGGGCATTATGTAAAACGTTCTTCAAATTCTCAACCTTTTTCTCCTTCATAAGTTCACACATTGACTGAAATAGGAAAGAAATTAAAAACAATAAAAATATACGGTTTCACATGAAATATATGTAAAAGATTCTATTACTGTACAACAGATAATACAGAAAAGTGACTTCTACTAAAGATCAAGTCCACCCAAACGTCACACATTTAGGAGTTTTGGTGGAAACATAAAATATCTTACACAGAAGTTGTGAAGGGAAAAAACAAACAATCTTTAACAAATATAAGCATTTTTTCTAAATGAATTAAACGTATGTTGAGAAAAGTCTTTCAAAGATGCAAACAAAAATTAACAATCCATAGAATTCATGCTAAACATTCCAGCAAACAGACAAGGATCCATGCATTAACAATCTATAGCATTCATGCTAAACATTCCAGCAAACAAACAAGGATCCATGCATTAACAATCCATAGCATTCATGCTAAACACTCCAGCAAACACACAAAGATCCATGCATTAACAATCCACAACATTCATGCTAAACACTCCAGCAAACAAAGATCCATGCATTAACAATCCACAACATTCATGCTAAACACTCCAGCAAACAAACAACGATCCATGCATTAACAGTCCACAACATTCATGCCAAACACTCCAGCAAACAAACAAAGATCCATGCATTAACAATCCACAACATTCATGCTAAACACTCCAGCAAACAAACAAAGATCCATGTATTAACAATTCACAACATTCATGCTAAACACTTCAGCAAACAAACAAGGATCCATGCATTATATAGGTGGAAGGTTTAAGTGCTACACTGTGATGATTGTATGGAATATTATACATAAAAAATAATGCAAGCTACTCAATCCTAAAAATTTAATTTTTTTTTAAATTCAAGATTTATATTACAAAGTACAATTTTACTTTTAATCGGCATTGTTTCGTTTCAGAATGCAGCAGAGATGAGAAATATAAAATGGATTCTGATACATATATACTATAAATCAAGTAATACCCAAATTTCAGTTTGGTGGGTTGTTACTTAAAACTGATTCCAGTTAAAGTAACTTACTTCACAGAACATGCAAGGAATGTTATCAGTTCTATTTTTATCCAAGCAGATACAAAAGTTTATGAACAGACATAAGTGTAGGACAGAGCACAATCAATACTAATATTCTCCAACTAGTTGAAATTATGAATTATAACTTGTGTCTAGTATTTACTTACTTGAGCATATGATATAAAAAACAGATTGTCACTGCCACCAACACCTGGGATGAGCAGAGTACTATCTGTAACTTGTCTTCTGTATGCCTACAAAAAAAAAATACCCACTTAATTCTTTCCATAAGGGGTCAGTCAATTTAGTTGACCTTGTAACCACCAAAGTTTCTATAACTTTTAATATGTTTTTTGTACCTTCACAAAACTTAAAAAGACTTTTGTACACAAAAAGCAGATTTTTGAATTAAGCATTTTAGTCAACATACTGATACTACAGACGTGATGTTTGGTCAACATACTGATACTACAGACGTGATGTTTGGTCAACATACTGATACTACAGACGTGATGTTTGGTCAACATACTGATACTACAGACGTGATGTTTGGTCAACATACTGATACTACAGACGTGATGTTTAGTGAACATACTGATACTAAAGACATCATATTTAGTGAACATACTGATTATAAAGACGTCATATTTAGTGAACATACTGATACTACAGACGTGATGTTTAGTGAACATACTGATACTACAGACGTGATGTTTAGTGAACATACTGATACTACAGACGTGATCTTTAGTGAACATACTGTTTCTAAAGACGTCATATTTAGTGAACATACTGATTCTAAAGACGTCATATTTAGTGAACATACTGTTTCTAAAGACGTCATATTTAGTGAATATACTGTTTCTAAAGACGTCATATTTAGCAAACATACTGATTCTAAAGATGTCATATTTAGTGAACATACTGATTATAAAGACGTCATATTTAGTGAATATACTTATTCTAAAGATGTCATATTTAGTGAACATACTGATACTACAGACGTGATCTTTAGTGAACATACTGATTATAAAGACTTCATATTTAGTGAATATACTGTTTCTAAAGATGTCATATTTAGTGAACATATTGCTTACAAACAGATAAACAGATAAAATACATTACCATTACACACACACATACATTTAGACACAGTAAACAACATTATTTCCTATAAGTCTGGCTGTTTAAACTGTTAGCTCAAAATTATACAATTCTTCTGAATCAAAGCCATCTAAAATATTCTTTGGAATACAAATTTTAAAGATCCAATACCAGCTAATAAATCTGGTTATGTTTGATTGAGGTTGAAGAAAAAAGAAGAAAAAAAAATTTTTTTAACGTTACTACGACACCTTACGTCATATACACCAGCTCCACTCATGATATCCCTCAACTAAATCAGTAACAAAACTAATATCTATTAATATCTGTGTAATTACCTGGTAAGCCAGTTTCACACCACCAATATCAGTCATAGCTTCTCCACCCAACCACTCCGAGTTAACCTGCAAGATCAACAAACATCGAGTACAGCAATCCATTTACTTCATCACAGCAAACATATGTTTGGTTTTTTTATCTTCTTGTGGAATTTTGACAGCCAAGTAGACTGCCCTGATAAACACAGTATCCAATGTTGCAAAACGCAAGTTTCAAATCAAAATACCAGAACTTAAACATGTTTTCCACTAGGGTAGACTATTCCAAGCCACTAATAATATGTTCACAAAGTATTCTGTGTTTGATACACAAGTTTTATAAGAGTTGTTGCTACATTTTTTGTAGATGTTTTCTTAAAAGTAAGAACATTGAATCAATTGGCTTCTATACTAATTATTACAGCATTCAACATCATCCTTGTTACTGATTTTCTAAGAAAACTTCAATAAATTATACAAAACACAGATAACACTAGATTTTTTATAGTTTAATCATCAGACTGGTAAACTTCTATACACCACACTATATATTACAGAAGTAACTCAGATAACACCACCAGAATGTTATAGTTTAATCATCAGACTGGTAAACTTCTATACACCACACTATATATTACAGAAGTAACTCAGATAACACCAGTGTT